ATCTATCTATCTATCTATCTATCTATCTATCTATCTATCTATCTATCTATCTATCTATCTATCTATCTATCTATTATCACCCATGTTTCTGTCTGAGTCAACTATCTCCCTTTCTCTATTTAATCAAGGAGGTGTGTTCCATCCGGTGGAACAAGAGAGAATGGGACTGAGCAGACTTCTATTTTATTTACATTCCGCCTCTAACGCAAGGTGAGAACATACCAAAAACCTCTTCCTGCTTCCATTTCCGCCACGATAACAACCCTGTGAGGTGGGTCAGGCTGAACAGGAGGAACTGGCCTCCCAAAATCAGCCAGCTGGCTTTGATGCCTAAGGCAGGATTAGAACATAAGAGTTTTCCCCAGCTTCTAGTCTGGTGCTTTAACCACTAGACCAGACTCATTCAAAGAACCATTGTTTTTTTTCTCCTGTCTGACTGCATTCATTTCCACGCATCTCTTGTCAAAGAAATTCAATTTCCAGCACTATTTTTGACGCTCTGTTTTAACTCTATTTTAAAGTTTGGTGTCCAGAAATGATGCGCAACCCCTCCAAATGAAAACCGAGTATAGTTGTGATCTCTATCCCACTTAAGAAACTTGGAAAGGAGGTATCTTGATTTTACGAAAATCTCGCAGGCCATTTTGGCCAACTACGGAAAATTGGAAAGGTTATAAAACGGAGAATCAAAGACGGAAGAAACAATTTCACAGGTGTCCTGATATTGGGGACGGAGGGCGGGGGGGGAAGAGACCACTGTACAATCCTTAACTCTCCCTGTACCTTGGTACCCTAGGGTAAAACTGGAGCTATTAAAAACGCACAAGGGATTGTTCCCGTAAGCGCAAAACAATCTGCGTGATTAAATTTCGCCTAGATTGTTCTGCCGTAACGCACAGCCGAAGGCAGAAGGAGAAGGAGAAGAAAAAAGGGGAAGGAAGATTCAAGTGAAAAAGGAGAAATTGAACAAATGCAATGAAATGCAGCAGAAGGGGGAAGCTGCACATTTAGCGTCCACTCCGACAGGAAGACACGCGAAAACGTTAGCACTCTTAACTCCTCGGGGAAGGATGAGTGAGGGATTAATTCTGGGGTAGAACGGTGCCAACGAGATTAATCGGTAATCCCGGTTATGTGATCTGCATCTTGAACAGATCCAGAGCAGCACAGAAGAAGAACATCTGCTGACACCCTTTTGTCCATGAAGGAACAAAGTACAGTCCAGGATATGTTTTAATCCAGCGTTTTTCACCCATTAAGATGTGTGGACTTCAACTCCCAGAATTCCCCAGCCAGCTGGCTGGGGAATTCTGGGAGTTGAAGTCCACACATCTTAAGAGTTGCCAACCTTGAAATCACTTGTTTTAATCCAAGTTCACAAGCATGGGACAGGTCCAATGTCTCAGCCAGTTCCCAGAATTCCCCAGCAGAGAGAGAATCCTGGGAAATAAAGTTCCTACACCGGAAAGGCCCCTGGTTTACAGAAAGCTGAAATAGGTAGGTTGGTAGGTAGCTAGGTAGATACCGTGTTTCCCCCAAAATAAGACAGGGTCTTATTTTCTTTTGACCCCCCCAAATAAGTGCTTGGTCTTATCTTCGGAGAGGTCCTATTATTGTTGAGGTGCAGGAGGTGGCGAGCGTGGTCACCTCATGGCGGATGGGGAAGGCTAATTTTCAGGGAAAGGGTTTATTTTAGCGCATGCGCTCAAAAGCCCGATTGAGCTTATTATCCGGGGAGGTCTTATTTTCGGGAAAACAGGATAGGTAGGTAGGGAGAGAGAGAGAGAGAGAGAAAGAGAGAAAGATGGAAGCTAGATAGATAGATGATAGATATAGATGGTAGGTAGGTAGGTAGGTAGGTAGGTAGGTAGGTAGATGGAAGATAGATAGATGATAGATATAGATGATAGGTAGATGATAGGTAGATAGATGGATAGATAGATAGATGATAGATAGATAGATAGATAGATAGATAGATAGATAGATAGATAGATAGATAGATAGATAGATAGATAGATAGATAGATNAATGAGGACCCGGATTGTTGTTGGGGGGCAATAGGCTGACTCTGTAAACCGCTTAGAGAGGGCTGAAAGCCCTATGAAGCGGTATATAAGTCTAATTGCTATTGCTATTGCTATAATGCATGACATTTGCAAACCGGTAGGGAAGGTTAAGGGAATCCCACCGCTGGCAGACCCTTTCTGCCATGTGATCATCATTGGCATCCTTTCAATGGGCAAAATTGGATTCGCTTAACGGCCGTTTGAAACAACCAGGCAAAGAAAAAAAAAAAAGATCCAAAGAGACCTACCCCGCTGCCTAACAATGAATTTTCCGGTTCTAGTTGGAGACTCCCAGTAACCCTCTCGGGCCGCACCCTCCAAAATAGCCACTAACAGTTGGAGCAGTTTCCAGTGAATCAATGTTTTCCAGAACATTCTTCCGAAGCAATCACAAGAGTTTACACAATTGCACCATGATTTCACTTGATGTAAAATTAACATATCCCCTTCCTCCCTCCCTCCCTCCCCCGGTGATCGAGGATCAGGTTGCCCCCTGTGGTGTTTCCCGGATCATCGGATCTTCAACGCTGTTCGATTTGTGGCACCGTCAATCAACACTGTGTCCGGATTCTCTCCCGGTGAGTTCAGAAAAAAACACATTTGGCTTTTTAATGTACACGGAGGGACTTTTGAACGGAAAATAGTCCAGGACACCACCACACGGTATATGCACAGAACACAGGCCCAGCGGCAAAAGGAAACGCATGTCATGTTTGGGGAAAACGAGGCGGCGCGACGACGGGCGCCCAAGATCTCCAAACATGTCTTCAGAATTCCTCGTGGACGTTCCGCGCGTAATCCATCAGCTTGCTGCCGGTGAAGTACTCACTGTATTTTAAGATCTCTTCCAGCTCCAGGTGGTGATTTTGGTTCTCATCCGCCACAGCGATCATCTGCTTGGCTTCATTCAAGGCGTTGTACTCGTTCATGGGATCCATGTACTCCTAGGAGGAAAGACAGTGGAGGAATAAAGAAACATGCACGATCATCAATTCAAGCTAAAGTACTCTAGATGTTGTGGCCCGTCAGCAGAGCTGGCAGCAGACTCGGGCAATGAGGAGGTTGGGGAGGAAGATGGGCCAGTCCTGGAGTCTGGGGAAGGCTCGGATGAGGGCTCTGTG